ATATATTTATTTATTTATTTATTTATTTCTAGGACATTGGGAAATAGGTGCTGTGTGTACAGTGTATATAAGGAAAAAACAGTTTGTACAATTCTAACAAAAACGAAAGTTTATATTTGGTATGACCACCTTTATTCTTCGACGCAGCCTGAACTCTCTTAGGCAAGCTTTTATGTAATTTCTCTAAGTAGCCCTTTAGAAATATTTCTTCTGGCTTCTTGAAGGATATTGTGTTTGGGATCATTGTTATGCTGTAAAATGAAGCAGATGTTTTCCGAACAGTATTGCAAAAATACTAAATATGTTATCTTTGTCATTTTTCATAGAGTGAACTAAAGAATGAGGAGGAATTGTGTGGTTTTTGCATGTGGGGGGGTGTCAGGCTGCTAGTAACAAAATGTGAAAAATTACAAAAAATTGGCTCTTTTTTTTTTATGCCTGATGATTTCGTAGGTCAGTAATATGTCTGTGTAGGTTCTCAGTCATCCAGGTCATGGTACTCTATGGAGCTTGGAAAGAAAGTGGCTGGATTTCTTTAAGTTTTCATTTTCACAAAATGAAAAGTCTGCTCGCTTTCTGTCTAAGCTTCTTAGACCAAAGGTCAGCAAAATATATCAAAATGATGGGTGGCTCAAGACTTTCTCACAGTACTTTGTCTTTGAGTTTTGAAATTACAGTGGAAGAAAAAAGCTTTTGTCTTTAAGTTTTTTGACACATCTTAGTAGCAGCTTTCCCAATTGCACTGTTATTTCAGGTTAAAAAGACCTGTGTAAATAAATTTGACTCTTAACTGAAATTATCACTGATACATTAAAACTGAAGCTATAAAATCCCATGTAAAATCTTGGTAAAACAAATAAAAAAGAAAACTGTTTTTAAGAGTTTGCTGACTTGGCCCTTTTTCTCACTTTGGCAATATTGTGACATCTGTGACTCATCCCACCAGCATAACTAACCCCAGCACTTAAGAAATGTCCTGCAAACTCATGGGTAAACTAAGTAAAACAATAACTATACTTAACTAGGTATTTGCTATGAAAACTAGTAGACATGCTTGCCACCGTAAAGCTGAAACTTATGTGAATCAGTTGACTTCTATCCATGTCTGCACACCATTAACTTAGTCTTTGTTTGTTTTTTACATTTATGTTTTTCATCTTTTTTTTTTTTTCTTGCAGGTGATTAAAATGAAGTCGAACCTCGAGAGATTTCAAATGACTAAACTTCATCCTTTCAAGGAGAAAATTCAGCGTCAGTATTTGAGTACAAATGTAAGTTTTTGAGCCATCAACAGTGTTGCACAGGCTTTCTTTCACCTCGTAGATGTAGCGCTAAAGTCTCTTTGGTATTCCCACAGCTCACAGGGCACTTGGAGGAAATGCTGCAGACTGCCTATAGTAAGTTCCAGATCTGGCAAACTCGTCGGATGATGAGGAAAACCTGAGCTCTGACATTTTTTCAAAGAGAAACCAAGAAAGACAGTAAAGTGGTCGGACAAATGACTTGTGAAGGTCCTCCGAACTGCTGTGAGCAGACCACAGACTAAAGCCTAATGGAACACAGTTCACAAGGGCTTAATGAGGAGGATATGGAGGGATGCTGCTACAACCCCAAATGTTCAACAAAGACTAACTGCATTTCAGTCACAGAAAACTGTAATTAGTTTCTTTCTCGTTTCTTTCTCGTTTCTTTCTCTTTTCTTTGTCTTTTCCTAGTGTTTGAGAGATTGGTGCCTGTAATGGTTAAAACAGGACTTTTAAAAGGGTTTAACATGACCAAAATGCAGATGGAAATGAATAAAACTACAAAAACGGCTCTCAGGACAACCGTGTGAGATGCAAGTGGAGGACTGCCAATGTGTTTCATCAGTGCACAGAACAGAAAGAAATGTGCATTGATGTGCAAGATACCCCTCTGAACTCTGGATAGATTTGTTGGAACAGTTGTCCGGAAAATCTTAATCAAAAGGGGACGTGAATATAGCAATACTCTAAAGACATTTCACACACGAGTGCATTACATGTGGCTCAAATCACACTGTCACTGATTTGTAATGTCTGCACTGAAGACAGAAATGTAACTCTGAAATAAAGTGAGGCATAAAGCTTTTGTTCATCATACTGCTTGTGTAGACTTAGTTATTTCATTTAAATCTCCACACTGCAGCTTGTTTTGCTTTGTTTTGTTTGGGTTTTTTTTTTTTTCGAATAATGTGATGAGTTGTTTCATCTTTACCTCAGAGGGATTATTTTCTGCAGTATCCAGAGTATATGTGTAGCCTTTCTAAATGCGCAACTGATTTGGGTAATAAATGCAGACGCTTTCAATTTCAGTTGATCTGAAACTCAGAGGAAGCCCACGCGCTGCTTTCAGGAAGTGCCCTCATCAGCTGAGTGAGTGAGACTGTCACGGGTCTTCTAGGCGAGACTTTCTCCAGCACAGCGGAGCAAAGACGCAATAAATCTGGGATGTAAGAAAGCCTTGTAAGTGTGGTGTTACAGCCGGGAGAGTTGCTCGGTATATCTGGTGAGTTTAATTTACGAAGCTGGAGGTGAATGGACATGACAGCGTTTAAGCTAGCATTCTTGCTAAGTTGTTATTGAAAACAAAGTGGGAGGAGCGGGCTGGTTAGATTTGTGTTAACTGTAATAAACGGTGACAGTGAAATGTTTGAAATAAGTGTTACACTTTTAAATATTTCCCCGTGGTTCCGGTGTGTTTTGACGCAAATTTTAGCTTCAGTGATTTTTGGACCGGTGTTTCAGATTAACTGGTGTTAGATTAACTCGTGACGGTGGGCGCTGCTTTTCAGGACCCACTAACGAGGAAGTAAACACTGCGAATATTTTAATCTTTAAGTGGATATTATTGTGTGTATGTGCGCGTTGTCACGTTTCGCATTGTTTTGGGCCAAAAGAGAAAACGCTTTCGATTTTAAATTATGATCGTGACATGCGTGAATCCTCTGCAGCAACGGCAATGAACAAACATAGGTGACGAGACTACTGCCTGTTTATAATACTGAAATGTTTAATAAACGCGCTATCTTTGTTCCTCCCGTATATTGTTACTGCTCTGATGACATTTGAGGTTTGTCAGTCCCACAGTTGGATACAGCTACACCAACATGAACTGGGTTTTAGTCTACCCGTGCGACAGTCTACTACCAGAGAAATTTTTGACGCAGCAGCATCTGACTCGATTCTGACGTATTTCAGACGGAGAATGTCTGTTTCATGCCCAGAGTGTTTTGGTACTTGCATCTTACAAAAAAAACTATGGAATAAATAAAATGTCATCACTATTTATTTTTGGTTTACTATAATCAGGGTTATTTTTGCCTATTTATTTTATTCACAAGACAAAAGGCAGTTTATTTTAACATACAATAAAGGTGTGGAAAAACAATTACTTTTGTATGGTATATATTTATTTATTTAATAGCACTGATGTGTTTTAAAGTTGGTATAGATGGTGAATTAGAGTAAATGTGGAAAGTTCTGATCTCGGAGGTTGTCAATATAGAAAAATCTGGACACTGCGTGAGTGGGAGGACTCATCTTTATTAGCAGAAATGGAGAGGCCATTGAACTTCTAGGGATTCATTATAATGTTGATTTTAAAAATCGACAATTAAGGAGAGATGCCACATGTTTGGACTGAAGTACATGGGTTACTTTTTATATTCTGCTTCATACAGTGAACCAAGTGCAAATGTAGGGTTTTGTCTCATTGCTTCAGTAATGGCATTCACCAGTTTAGCAGTTTGTGCCTTCTCTTTGAAAATTTTTATAAAACAGAATTATGGGGGAAAAACTGGGCATATAATGTAGTTACAAGCACGTTAATATGAAAGGGGTGGTGTTGGCAGCGTGTGAACAGTAACAAAGATGGTTTCACTGGCAAAGAAAGATGGAGCTATAATATTACGTAAATATGAGCTTAAACACTTAATGCAGACTGAAAGCAGCACAGCTGCTGCACAGTGTCAGTAAGTGAGAGGGAAAGTATAGCATTTGTTCAGTAAGACTGGAACAGTGCTATTAATAAAGTTTAGCAAGGAAGGAAAGCAGCCAAAAACAATGCTCACCGTGTAAGTTAAATGATTTCAGCGTCACAGTGTTTTCATTAAGAATAATGAGAATCAGAGAGATTACATTTTATTACTGAATTATTATTATTAATATGTATTAATTATTGTTTGTAAGATTTATTATTTCAGGCAGATCACCAGTGGTGTTTAATGGTCTCAGAGCGTAATTGCAAATTTTATACGAGGCCATCAATTGTGAGGCCCTGTTGCTCTGATTTACAGTATAGTATAGTGCAGTAATGAAAACTGGTGTCTGGTGTAACCAACTATTCACAGTAGCAGCTCATTTTTCTGCAACTAATGCTAACGTATTTATTGCAAAACTTTAACTTCTAACTTCCACTCTTGAATCTACACAATTTAACACCACATTGAAACGCCTAACATCCAACACTAAATGAAAGATGAATCCTTTTGAACAGCAGCTAGGGCTGAATGTATCCAGCAAGAAAAAAAATCAACATCCTCCTCACGGCTTTTATCCTTAAATTCGTCAGTTAATTAAGTGCAAATCATCACTGTGCAGCACTGAGGCCTGATAATGTAGCCAGTTCTACATTTTCAGTCCCTTCAGCAGTTAAATATACTACTGTTGCACCAAATTCATTCACAAACTCACACTGAAATTACACCCCCTGTTACACTAGCATGCCAACAAACAGAAGGCCTGAGGTCAGACTGGAGTGCTGGTTCTCACCTTCATGCTGTCCTGTCAAAAGGTCTCCAGAATAAAAGGCTTTAAAAACAAAAAATGTTAAAGATAAACATATTTTAACTCCAAAAAACACCCTAATGTTGAAGTTTGCTTATATGTTGGGTAATAACTAAAGGCGTCAGTATTTTAACTGAATTATAATAAAATCATTTAAAAAGTGCTCTGTGCACCAAACTAACTGTTTTAAAGAGGAGGTTCTTTTCAGGCTGGCGGTAATGTAGAGTGGAGTCATGACTGGTCAATTAAAGAGGGTAGGTACGCTGCTGAAAGTCATGTGAAGCCACACGGCCGAGGGCCATGGTATGAACTCCTATTTTCTTTCATACTTATCTGACTCACTCTTTGTCCTTCAGCTGTGTTGGAGCACCAGTGAAGATGCCTCCGATACCAGTTGTTCCAGAGAACCACAATTATGTCCTGGCAGAGTTCGACTGCCTCGATCCACTTCTCTCTGCTCTGCGTTTGGACTCCGGCAGGCTAAAGGTAGTAATTCTAGCCAGTTTTCTATTTATATTCAAGTAGGCACCTCATATTCCTAAATATCTTTAAAGAAGGACTTGAAACAAAAACAAATTAGTGGATGTAATGTGCCAAGAATCTTGTTTATTTTGATATTTGTTGTTTTGGTGGTGTTTATATTTTAACCATTAGTGATCTGAAATAAACTACCTTCAGGCCACATAAAGGGTTACTAATGGGCGCCACCATTGCCACATGAACCGCACTTTGAGAATCCTGGCTTTAAAGTTAGTAGGACATATTAAAAAAATACACAATATGGATTTAATTTCTTTCAGCTGTAGTGGAAGAAAATTAGAAAAGCAAGAATAAAATTATGCTTGACATTAATTCTGTGTTACTCTGTGCTGCAGTGTACCTGTTTGGCAGTCTCGAGGAAGTGGCTCGCATTAGGAACATCAGCAGGAGGGGTGCACCTGATTCAGAGGGAGGGCTGGAAACAACGGCTCATCCTCACTCACAAGGTAATAAGTGACTGTGAGCCTGTGCTGCTCTTCTGTTAATGAGTGATAGAGTTAAACATAAACAGTAATGCGGTGTTTGTTTTCTTTGCATTTGTCCACTGACCCATCACTCAATGTGCGTGTTTCTCCCAGGAGGGATCCATCGCTCAGGTGGCATGCTGCCCTCACGATGAAGACTTTATTGCAGTTGCAACAAGGTTAGCGTTTATTTCAAGAAAGTAAAGAAAATGTTTTGTACCCCTCCTTGGTTTAAAATGTGTGTTAACACACCCACTTGTAGAATGCTGCCCCCTGTTGGTTAAAGTTGTAGTTAAATTCTTTTGTGGGTAACTACAAAAAGTACTTTTAAACAAGTTGCAGGCTTTTTCTTTCCTGCTTCATCTCTGTGTTTGGCTGTGGTTCCCATATTGTTCACTATGTGTGATACACATCCAGTCAGGGTCTGGTGGTGGTGTGGGAGCTGCAGTTGGAGCGGCGGGTTCGTCCAGAGAGAGTCAGCGTGTCCTGGGAGCACAGAGGTCAGACAGTTACTGCACTCTGCTGGGATACAAGCGCGCTGAAAGTTTTTGTCAGCGACTCTGGAGGCAAGGTGTCCTTTCTCCGTGCAGGATCCTCCAAAATGGGAAAGGTAGTGACTGCTGATTAACATTGAAAGCTTGGCACTAATTAAAAGTAGGTACTAGTTCAGTGGTTAAACATGCAACTATAAGAGCTGCTAGCACTTATGGTGATTAGTTTTCTGACTTTTTTTCTTTCTCAGTTTTTTTATTCTGGCAGACAAGAGCAATGCTGCCTCTGCATGCTACATTTATTATTATATTTAAAATTCATCCTTCCCTATGATATATGTATTTTTTTTTTTTGTCTTTAGGGGTCAGCGTTTGTTATATTCCCTGTCCAGACTGTCACCACTGTGGACTCTAAAGTGGTTCAGCTTGGGTACCAAGATGGACGACTGCTTGTGTCTTCTCTCACCCGCTGCTATCTCTGCGACACAGAGAAGTGAGTACCACCTTTGCTCCATCCGTTTTGTGTCTTTCATATTCTCTTTTTCGGGAGAAACTCACAGAGAGCTCGCACTCATGCTTCCATTTAGGTAAATGTTGTTATTAATGATCCAGTAGTAATATGTTGGATCCATAATCATGGACATATTAGTTTTTATCACAGATTCTTCTGTTATTCTTAAAATATTAAGTTTGTATTTTTATTAAACATAAACTACAACAGATTCTTCTGTGCACAAAAGCAGTGCTACAAGCAGGATTAATACGTTGGCGAGTTTTCAGTGTCAAAGGTGCCTCACTTTTAACTTGGCTAGATCGCCAT